TCTCTGTCCCTCTGTCCCTCTGTCTCTCTGTCCCTCTGTCCCTCTGTCTCTCTATCTCTCTCTCTCTTTCCCTCCCTCCCTCTTTCCTGCTCTCCCTCCCTCCATCCATTCGTTCCTCCCTCCCTTTCCATCTCTATCTTTCTCTCGCCTCTCTCCCTTCCTCCGTCCCTCTCTCTTCTCTCTCCTTCCCTCCATCCCTCTCGCCTCTCTCTCCCTCCCTCCGCCCCTCTCGCCTCTCTCTCCCTCCTTCCGTCCTTCTCTCCTCTCTCTCTGTCTGAAATCGCTACTGATCGTGTGAACACTGTTCTATACTCATATTTTCTATTCCGATACAGATCACACGTTTTTACATGAACACTGATCGTGCTAATACTGTTATGATACTGATATGTTATATCTATCTTCTGATATGTTCTATATACTTACTATGCTGACATGTTCTATTTCGATACGGTTCACGTGTTCACATGAACACCGATCGTGCGAATACTGTTCCATACTAATATGTTCTATTTCGATCTGCTGCTGTTCGTCTCTGCAGCGCAGGTAAGGGCTTGCAGGTGAGACTCGTTAGTAGCGGCGATCAGTTCTTCATGTACTGCGCGAAGGTGCTCAACGGCTGGGACTACTCCATCGGTGACGAGAGGGCGGCCGATCTGTGTCACAGGAACCTCTACTTTGAACTGGCGGTGAGTTAGAAGGCGGCTTCGCTGCAGTTGTAGAGACAATATAGAGGTGACGAGAGTCTCGTCGTCAGAAACGCAATTAGTTTAACTGGAAAGTAAAGTGGTCACCGATCACTTTAGTCAAACTTTTGTATAAGGATCCGTTTATATGCTGGGAGTGACTGTATTATATATATTATATTACTATATTAGATGTACCATATTATATTATATGATGTAATGACTGATGGATAATGGCTAAATGGCTGAATGTGGGTGGGGGGGGGAAATGCTGTGAGTGATTAATCTCGAAATTAAATTGCCTAATAATGACGTGTGATTTTTACTAATTATATTCTCTTGACATTAATCGTTATAATAACATGCGTCAGGTCAACTCGCGGTCATCGTTATGTTACACGGTCATAATTGCTTAGGTCATGATTGTAAGTAACGCGAAAATAAATGTAATAAATAATGGAACAAAATTCACAAAAATCAATTACAATTTACAAAAAAGCTCAATTATCCTTTCAGCCTAACCCTGTATCCTGCACATGATTTTTTTATTTTATTTTGCTTCCTCTAGGAATTTTCTCAGCATACAACCCTATTCTCGTATCCTTAACATTAGCATTAAGTGTTACCTTAGCATTAACATTAGCATTAACTTTACGATGTTTCTGACAACGCGGCCCCCTGATCGTTACGTTACAGGGTGAGCTGCGGCAGGAGAGGAGGGCGATGCAACGCAAGGCGCAGACCTGCTGCAAGAAGTTCAAGATGTACGCAGTCCGAGCGATAGCGAACGTGTGCGTGTGCGTCGTGCTGGGAGCTGCTGGTTACGCCATCTACAGGGCATCGGACGAATCGCTGAAGGTGAGTGTGAGCTAATCCACAATAAAAGGTTTTTATGATTATTTAGTGATAGATAGTACACATCGATCACTAAATAATCATAAAAATCTTTTATTGTGGATTAGCTCATAACAAATTTGTTATTATTTATTATGATTATATTATCAGGAGTGAATAAAAACCATTGTTTTCTATTAAGTATTATTGTTATATTTTTATTATTTATTAAAAATGTTCTCATGATTATATATAATGATTATTATTTACTACGATTTTTATGATGTTTTAACTGTGATCACTTCGTGATCTCACATCCCTGGTTTCGCATATATCTGAGTCTCGTAGCAGATTTTACGTCAGCGCCCTCTGCTTGCAGTTTTCGGGCGGCGACGACACGCACTCCCCCTACCTGGTGCTGCTGATGCAGTTCCTGCCGTCGTTAACCATCACCGCGGTGAGCGTTGTCGTGCCGACGATATTCGCCACCATCGTCGTCGCCGAGGACTACTCACCGGAGTTTGAGATCCGCATCACTCTGATCCGGTGAGAGGCTGTGTCTCTGTAGAGCAGGGAAGTAGAGCGAGGGAGAGAGAGAGCGAGAGGGAGAGAATGAGGGAGAGAGGGAGAGAGAGAGAGAGAGAGAGAGAGAGCGAGAGAGAGAGAGAGGGAGAGCGAGAGCGAGAGAGAAAGAGAGAGCCCAAGTCAGTTGCAAGAACAGAAAAACACCCCTGCCCCACGGGGCGTCATCGATCACGCAAACCTCCCGCTTCACCCACGTATACAGACAATATATATATATAATATATAATTAATATAAATGACGCTAAATGTAAGTATGAGTGAAAACATTAATATTACATAAATGACGCAATTACAATAAACTAATATAATATTACTTTATTATATTAAATAAGAACAAGGCCCTGCAGAGTCGACACGCGCAACTGCGTGTACGTAGCCAGGATCTTCTGAAATCACCTACTTGGCAACGCGAATCAAGTGTCGCACTTCCTGGCAACCGGCCTTCCGCTCCAGAAAATACTAGGATATCTACCCCATACAGATCTAAAAGCTAAAGCAAGGGCCTGGGCTCTAATAGCAAAAGCAGTCAGTCCTGTTTTAACGTGTCAACAAATCTATGTTTAGAGACCTCCGCTGGATGGTCAAAAGGTATCAGAACACTTACTCTTCGCCACGTCAGCAGAAAGTAGATTCTATGGTCCTTGTCGAATAAAGTGATCAACATGAGGTCAGCCGCTGAAACCAAAAAAGTTTTGCACTCTCCGTTAGTACCCCGATGTTCCTCAGAAAAGTCTACTGAGTCTGTACCTTCTCCCCCACTCGCCCTTTGACGCTGTGACCCCGAATTTCTATCCGCTGTTGATGGTTCCTGCCCGCATCACACTACATTGAAAAAGAGCGAGCTTCGAGCCGGTTGAATTGTTGCCGGGCAATTCCGTATTCCTCCTACACCCTAAGTAAGGGGCAAAATATTCCGCCCTCCATTGACATGCATCATCTGACCTTTGACCGCCCTTGACCCACACCCCAAATTCGACTCTCCGGAGTCCTTTTTGGGCGATCCGCCCCGACGTCCCGAATATCATAAGACCGTGACTGGAGGACGTTAAGATTTGTGCCTCAACTGTAACAGACCGCAACGATAGGACCGGACGGATTACGAACGGACGTACGGACGTACGCTGGTACAATCATTGGGCGATACTAACTAAGCTCATCCGACTTCGTTCAGCTGAGCTAATAACACATCATTATTACAAACTATATATATGAAATTTACGATTATATAAACTAATACAAGACATCACATTTATAAAATAATACAAATATTTTTTTTTTTTATAATAACATAATAAAATAACATAACAATGGCAGGAGTGAATAATAATAGAAATCTATAATATAAATCTAATATAATTGTGTAATATAAATAATAATAATAATAATAATAATAATAATAATATCAATATAATATAATCTATTATCATTCACTCCTGATAATAGTAATTAATGATAACGCGGCTAACGACGTATATAACGACCTGACGATGACAACGGCACGGCCTCACCACAGGCCACGATGAAGGCGGGAACCTGGGCGAAACCCTCCAGAACACCTTGCTCTGGGACTCTCCGGCGCTCGAGAAAAGACGAACGCTCGCGAGGCGACGCCGCATGCGACACACCCGTGAACGACCTCCCCGATCATGTACGCGTGCTCGCGGAACGGTCCGCAGCCGCGAGACGGATGTATCCTGCAACGCGTAAAACACACGCAGTATGTAGTGTCGAACGTGTCTATCTCTCTCTCGTCTCTTCTTTCTTTCGCTGTCGGCTCCTCTCTCTCTCTCGCTCGCATCTATTCTCCTTCCTCTTCGCGCTCGTCTCCTTCTCTCTATTATATTATATCTCACATGGTAATAATATTATAATAGATTATATATATAGTTGAGATATATAATAGTAATGGACTAATATGAGCGATTAAACTTAATTTTTACATACAAAATTTAAATAATTTAATATAAGTTTAGTTCAGCAAGCATGTGGCTGATAGTGAGTTGATTGTTGATCTGTTAATCTGTTGAGCATAATCTTGCTAAAAATCTAGGTACAATCAGGTAAATACGAATTTATTTCTACTTTAATTTATTAAACTCCACTAACAATTAAAGCAATATAGTATTAATGTTAATTCGATCTTTAATCAAATTTATAATCATATGCCCTTTATTTGGCAAGCTAACTCGTCTATTGTGTATCCAAGCCGAGAATTTCTGCAACCAGGATAAATGAGAGCAGCAGCCACAAGGTAGATAGGAAGCCGTAGTGCGCTTGAAGCGCTTGTAATGGTTCTGGTTGGCACAGATATTAACGTTCTGAGCAACAGTACCTCTAAACAACAACAACTTCCTCAATAGAAACATCGTGCAAAAACTGGAAAAATTAACAGAGAAACTGATAACGCATAAAATGATCGAACCCAAATAAAATCATGCAACACATCACAAAATCCGTGCAATGCATGGCATATCAAATCAAAAATCCGTCAAATCCCCGTGAAGAATGGGTAAATATTAGAGGATCAGATTAACAGTGCCATCTGTGACACAGTGAACTGCGGCGCGACTGTAAACCTTTTTCAGGTAGAACGAACAGAAACATTTCACGATACCAGTGATGATGCAGCACTGGACTAAAGAAACACGCAAGGCTGCAACAGTGATCGACGATACGAAGTGCGTGAAATAAACAAAAGACCGCTAATAAATCTAGGTAGCAATCAGGTCAAATCAATTTAAAATTTAGAATAAATCCGTAATTAAAATTACACAATAGGTCACAGATCTATCGTGCACCGCACGCGATCAGGTACTCGCGGCCCAACCCAAATGTAATTAACGAAAAATAACGTTATAATAGAATTTAACCTAATATACTGTACTATAATCATATAACTACTTTAATCAGCAAGCGCATATTGTGAAGATTGAGGCTTGAATGCACCGAGCAAAGCTGTATATTATCACACATATAACAACATAAATAATATTAAAATACATATTTAAACATCCACCAGCATTAGAGGTGTTTGCGTGTAGACGGATGTCCATCACATTCTTCCGGCAGCACAAACTCTCTGCCTGACCAACGCAAACTTGGAACAGCGTGCGTTTCGGAAATTTAGTGACCATGACTCCTGTGTGCGAAACACGAAGAAATTCTAAGACGCGGATTTTAACAAAAGAATTACATCCGCGATAGCGAAAATGAGATATTTACACGTGATTTTATTATGGGCATAAAAGAATATATTGATTATATCTGAATTAAAATATGATAAATAACATACAGTAGTATTAAAATAGAAATACGATATTGCTATTAATTCCTGTAGAGAGATATTTAATAGGCAAGTCGTGGATTCGTTAACGGTTGTTAGAGCCTTGCTAACGTAACAGGGCACTCCACTGCAGAAAACGAAATTAGAATATGATTTAACATTAAACTTTCATAATACACATCTATATCTATCTGTCCACACGAACTTTACATTACTCTTGACACAGTAATCCTTAACGCGTGTAAACTGATCAATACTTCATACATACATCAGCAGCCCGTAGCCAGCTTTAATTGGGAGGGTCGTTTTTTCAATGTTGGCAATTTGATCGGCCAGGCGTGTAAGGATTTACAGGGGGGTCTAAGAACGCGTAACCCAGCAAGTTGCGTAACATTTTAAAATAGACCCCCTCAGATGGCGATCCTCGACTCCCTTTACCCCCCCTGTAGCACCCCCTGCTCGGCGCGAAGCGACCAACGGGGGGAGGGTGTGGAGGGGGTGTCACTGTTCACCACCAATATGTTGTGTAGTGTGACCGCGACGATGGAGATTGCAATATACAGCTAAAATTGAGCGACTGAGGAAATCTGCAAATTCAAACAAAATTTTTTGCTAGGGGGCATTGGGGGTGGGGGGTTCTTCGAACGCCCCCGAACCGCCCCCTGGCCTACAGGCCTGTACATAATCTCAGTTTGTTACATAACAGGTACCGAGAAAACTCGTAACTTCATTCATCAATGTTTTTGTCATCAACGGTCCAAACGAGTGATATTTTAACTTTAAAATATTAACTTTATTAAACGAACGATTTTCACGATATTTACGACCGCGTAAAAACTCGTAAACTTCACAACGTTTTTGTGTCAGACGCTGCGTCACTCGAGACGGTATTTTAACTTAAACTCAAAAAACCTATCGAACACTTCTCAGACGACATTCACGGACGACAATGAACGATCGCAGACAATCGGGCGACCCTGCGTCCAAACGACTAACACAGCCAGCCCCGACCTCACCGTCGGCGGGTACTCGAGCAGGAGCGTGGTTGCCGTGACGACGAGGAAGTCGAGGAATGGCAAGCCGGTAGAGGCTGCTGCCGCGATCGAGCGTCTCCCAGTCACGTTTGGTGCAGGCCGGGGCGCGTGGCGCCGCCACGTCGCCACGCGTCTCTCGCCCGCCGCGGCAGCGCACCTGCTGTAGAGGCTGAACACGAGAAACCTGAGAGCGCGATCGCACAATACACCTGGCCTGGTAAAACACACGGATGTCCACATATATTATCTCAAATATCTAGAGCTAAAGAGAAGATCTTATAGAGAGATCTAGATCTATAGAGAGATCCTATAGGATCCTCATTCTTCTCGTTCCCCCCCCCTCTTCTTCCCACCCTCTCCTCTCTCTCTCGCGCCTCTCTCCTATAATACTATAATATGTATTATATTATTATATATATGAGAGACCTTAATGTATTAATATCATATATTATTTATTTATATGTTATTGACATATTATATAGTGGTACATTCCATATCTATTTATCAAATCTTCATTTGCCCTCCCGTACGGTCTTATGCTGCTGTCCGGCTCTGTCAATCTTGCTAATCCGGCCCCCGCTCTCTCCTTCTCATCTCTCTCTGCGCGCTCATCCGGCTCAAGAGCAATCTCAGCCTCCTCTCTCTCTCTCTCCCTCTCTCTCTTCTCCGTGCTGACCTCGTCCTCTCTCCGCCTCCGCCGCCTCGCGCCCGGCTCGCTCGTCTTGCTCATCTCTCTCTCTCTCCCTCTCAGTCTCTTGCTTTCTTCTCCCTCTCTCCTCCGACCTCTGTTCTCTCCTCCCATCTCCTCACGCCTCTCCTCGAATCTCTCTCTCTCTCTCTACCCCCTCCCGTGCTACTGTCCATCCACTCCCAGTCCACTCTTCTTCCCACCTCCCCGCTCTCTTCTCCTCTCCCCCCCCTCTCATTGCTCGCCTCCGCCTCTCTGTTCCTCTCCGCTCTCTCCTTTCTCTCCCCCTAGGCTCTCCGCCCGTCTCCTCTCCTCTCTCTCTCCCTCCC